TTAAATGGAACGTGGCAATATCTACGATGTCGGGCCAAGCACGATGGCCGGCTTACTGCTGACCTGGCCAAGAGGTGTTGGCAAATGGTAAATTTACGATGTCGGTGAAGCACACTGGCTGACCTACTGCCGACCTGGTCAAATGGCGTTAGGTGATGGTAAACCTACGATGTCGCACCAAGCACAGTGGCCGGATTATTGCCTACCTGATCAAGCGGCGTTGGCAAATGATAAATTACGACGTCAGTCCAAGCACGCTGGCCGACCTACTGCCGACCTGGTCAATGTCTAGTCATGGGCTGACCACTTTTTTTGGTTGTCTCGTCAACTAAACTGGCCACCGACTGGTTGCCGACCCTTAACCAACCATCGGCCGCTGGCCATGTCCCCTTGGCTATGTATCACAAGACCATCAATACTGGGATCCTGCGCGACGTTCGCGTACAAATCGTCGCGACACGACACAGCAGGCTTTTCACATTTCTACCTATAGTATGCAAAAGAGCCGAATTTACCATTGAACATTGTCATTTCAAGCACCTCGTTCACCAGCGAGTATGCTCGTGGCGCTACTGCACGAGCCCACAATGACCGTCAGCTCACCCGTGCTCATCAAACGGCGTTGCAGAGCAAGCAACGACACCGTTAGGATTCTTCGCATCCCGATGCACATTTCGCTCCGGGTACCCTTGTGTTACTCTAGATGGTCTCCTCATCGTCAGGTGGGGCTATCCGAAAAAAAAACGTTGTTTTGTTACATGGTACCTTACCGTGTATTGCGGCACATAACACATGTTACTTATGAGAGTGGCCTCCCCTCTCCATCGTCATCAGTTCAGTGGAGTGATGTTTACCTTTCAAGCCTGTCAAGGCTCAAGATCTACAACTCTGCTTCTGTGGGCGACCTCGAAATCTCTGGGCCACCATCAACGACAATCCCACAGCACTGGAGCACTCACTTCGTCGTGCTATTCAGAAGCAAGTTGCCGAGGCTCTCCCTTCGGCCGCGTTCCCAATATCAGTTACAGCACTGCTGACTTATTGAATTTGTTTATTCACAGCAACAAAGTTGCGAGGATGACCAGGCAAAAAAGCTGCGTTGAGCAGCTTGAGGGGAACCTGGCCACCTCATACACTGGGCAGCTTCACAGCGGTCACACAAAAACATGGTATACGTCATGAATGAGCTAAATTAAAAAACACAAAAACAGTAAACATCCATGGTCGGAATAAAGAAACAAGGTCATTATAGAAACATTAAAAAAGGGGAAAAAATAAGCGAAATGCTAAAGACAGAGAAAAGGACAAACAAATAAGTCCTTAGCAGCACAAGCAATTACATAAATACGTTGCGTAGCTTTTTTAGCGACAGAGTTGATACACTGAGACCATCTCCTTTGTGTAGTTGATTTAGCACAGTAGGTAAACAGGATTGTACCATTTGGTCACCGTATGTAGTTCTGTTTTCGTTAACAATCCAAGGCTCGGAAATGACGAAACTTATAAGAATTATGTTGCTGTAAGGATGCCAATTTCGCTAAAGCGTTATCATTTTTAATTTTTTCCATTCTATACATGCGACATAGCTTATATGTGTAAAAAGATTCAATTCTTATTGTTCTAAGCTTTGTAAACAAAGCAGCAGTATGCCAAAGATATGGCACTCTGCAGACAAGGCGTATTGCTGTTTTTTGTAATACCACCAGCTTGTGAATGTTTTCAGCTGAAGTCGTCCCCCAGAGTAGAATTCCGTATTGAACTAGGGAAAGAAACATTGAATTATATAACATCATATTAATGGATGTACAATGGCGACGCAAAGTACCTATTGCTCTAGATAATTTACCGAGTGATTCACTTGGCAATCCCACGACATAGTTGCAGAGAAATATACGCCAAGCGATTTGTAAGACTGTAGTATTTCTATTTCAGTATTATTTAATTTAATGGGGGTTAGTTGAAATTGTTTGTTACGTGGATGAAACAACACTGTCTTTGTTTTTTCTACATTAATCTTAAGATAATTACTTGTAGCCCACTTTTGTATACTTGCAAGCGTCTTATTGGCTCGATTTGACATTTCAGCACCTAAGTCACCGTCAAAAAACAGACTTGTGTCGGCTGCGTAAATTACGCACTTAACCGAGGAATCAACATTGACTATGTCATTAATGTACAATATGAAGAGATATGAACCCAATATGCTCCCCTGTGGGACGCCGGTTCTTACAGATTTCAACTCCGATTGATCCCCGGCTATAGCTACGAACTGGGTTCTGTGCTGAAGGTAGGACGTAATAAGAGAGTGAGCTACGCCGCGAATACCGTAGCGATCAAGTTTTTTTAGCAAAACATCATGACTGATAAGGTCAAAGGTCTTGAAAAAATTGAGGAACAGTCCAAGCACCATTTTCTTTTCCTCAAACTTTTGCAATATAAACTCCTTTTGGGTCATTAGGGCTAATTCAGTTGACCTGTTTTTACGAAAACCGAACTGTGCAGGACTTATGATACCAAAGTGGTCAGTAAACGAAGAAAACCGTGCTAAAATCACCTTCTCTAAACTTTTCGAAAAAACAGGCAACACTGATACAGGGCGGTAATTTGAAAGATCATTCTTGTCGCCTTTTTTGAATGTTACTGTCACCTCAGCCGTCTGCATTCTACGAGGGAAAATGCCTGTTGACAAACATAGATTAAAAATGTACTCTAGGCAAGATGCAATTATGTCTATGACGAATTTTACCGGCGCTGTTTGAATACCAAATGCATCTGTGGCCCTGCTGTTACTTAATGACAAAAATCAAAAAATAAATTCTTGTGTTGTAACACCTCTTAAGAATAATGACTGCTTATTCGGTGGGTTCATGTAAGAAAGGTCAATACCGTCACATGCCAGACCAAGGTACAAAAAAAATCGTTAAAAGCATTAGCAAGATCAACCCCTTTTAATTCATTGCCGTCTTTTAGGACTGTGGTAATTTTTTCAAACGCAGTTCCAGTTATTGAAGCAAGTGTCCTCCAAAGTTCATCAGGACGTCCTGCAGATGAACTGAAGAAATTAAAGTAATAGTGCTTCTTAGCAACCCTTAACTATTTTGTAACGAAGTTCCTGTATTCTTTAAATGCTTTTAATGCTTCCGGTGATTTAGTTTCCATAAATGAGCCGTACAACCTGTCTCTCTTATTTATAAGCTTAAGCAGGTGCTTATCTATCCACGGTTTGCGACATTTCTTTGTCTGCTTTAAAGTTTTAACCGGGAAACATGCGTAGTATATTTCCATAAATAATTGCATAAACTTGTCATAAGCCGCATCTGCATTTTTTTCTCTATACACATCATCCCATTTGGTACTGGCAAGACGTTCTCGGAATACTAACAGGGTGTTAGTATTTACGAGCCGATACGAGAACGCTTGATGTACTTGTTTTTGTTTTTCAACTGTGCTAGCAATGAATATAAACACAGGTAAGTGGTCACTTATTGCATATACTAAAACACCAGGCTTCACAGAAGACACATCAAAGTTAGTTAAGAACAAATCTAATGCAGTTTCACATGTTGGCGTAACTCGCGTAGGCGATGATACATTTTGACAGAGATGTATATTTAGGAGAGATTCTAACTCTGATTTCATCTTATTCTCGGTACTCGTATTTATGTTTAGGTCACCTCCAATAACTATTTGGTAATTGTTTTTGTCAACAAATTCTAACAGAGAATCTAAATACGACAAGAACAGCAAATAATTTCCCGATGGAGGCCGGTAGCAAACACAAAAAATTATATTGCTACATTTAACTACGACAGCGCACAGTGCTGATTAGTACGACAGAATTCAGAAAGAAGCTCAGAGGTAAATGAATTTGAAACCAGCATTGAAACACCTCCCCCACGTCTATCACGGCGGTTCATGTAAAAGGATTTGTAACCGGAAAAACTATACACATCATCTTCTGAAGCAAACCATGTTTCCGAAAACATCACAACACCAGTCGACATTCTGTTCCACCAAAAAAGCAGTCAAGTTCATTTCTCTTGTTTCTACCAGATCTAAGGTTAAAATGTATGCAACTGTAGGAATTCAAACCGTGGCTTCGCATGATAGTATCTAAGTCTGAGAAATTTACTCGGTCCATGAAAAACAACGCAGGTTAGAAGATAAGTTGGCTATGAAAATTAATGTGCTGGATAGTTTATCAAGGTCAGTCATGCAGCGGATGACAACCACATATTCGTTCTCTTGCTTTCTAACAAGAACTTTCCCGTTCGCATGCCACGCGAAGCGATAATCATTTGCAGTTGCCCATTCTCTCACGTCACGCAGCAGTTTCCGGTTCTGTACAGTCATGTTTTCACAGATTGAAATGTCAGAGCGCATGTTTTGCAGAACTTTGCGTTTTTCGATCCATCTGTCTCGCAGAGAGAGCTGTAAAAATCGGACGATTATACCAGGTACTTTGCCTTGTCGCGAAGGCAACCTATGTACCGCCTCGACATCAGTAGCGCTCAGCTCTGACAAGCTCACCGATTTTGCTACTTAATTTAGCTTGGTGATGAGATTTTCGTTATCAGTTCCTAGTATTCCATGCACTTCAACGTTCAGCTTCCTGCTGCGCCATTCAAGATCGTTTACAGATGCCTTGAGTTGCTGATTATCGCTTGGCTTTGCATTTTCTTCGAGCTTGGATACTTTTTTCTTCAAGCTGGTTAGTTCTTTTTCCTGGGCAACCTGACGACTCAGTATGTCATCGTATTTTTGAGACATAAGCTGGATTGAAGCCTTCACGTCTTCAACCTGCTGTGGCAAGTTAGTAAGCATGTCTAATTTGCGAGTTATCTCTGCCAAGACGACCGAAAGGTCCGTATCCATCACCGGTTTATCTTTTGGCGCTCTGCACACCGCACATCGCCATGCCCTACGCCCACTCTCGCCTTTACTTTTATATGTTGCTTCACTGCAGCCAGAACAATCACCGAGATGGTAGCCGTACTCACATTCGGAGCATTTCATGAAGCGTCCATCTGCGGGAAGGGAGTCGCTGCAGGAGCGGCATGGCATCTTCAGTGGCCCACTAAGCGTACACACAGTGCAAAGAGTTCCAAAACGCCAAAGCACTTGACACCAAAACAAGTATCAACACGGCGGTAACGGGAGTGGCCGTGGCAAAAAAAATAGGACAAGTCTTTAGTCAGGAATGAACCTGAGTTTACCAACCTGCAAAGGGTAGAATACAGATGTAAGGGGGGCGTCCTTCCACCACCACCGTCACCGCCCGTGTGAGCTGGGTAAGCTTGACCGTCACGAGCGCAGCCAGCACAGCCAAGATGAATAAAAGTTCGTGACGTCAGTGCGGGCAAGAATCCTTGAAGACGGCGCAGCGCTTCGTGGTGAGTCCAGCTGCAAAGGGTAGAATATAGATGTAAGGGGGGCGTCCTTCCACCACCGCCGTCACCGCCCGTGCAGAAGCCATCCGCCGACCTCAGGCCCAACCGCCGCTCCCTTCATACAGTCCAGCCACCAAGTACTACAGGTCGCCAGTTTCATTTTATCTGATGAATCGACCTTTCTCGCCACCTCGAGCACCTGTAAACTCTTGGCGCACTCCGGAAAACCGGCCCGTCTGCTAAAACTGCAGTATTCCAGGGCATGTCGCGCGCTACTGTCGTCGCCTTAGATTCCACTTTAATGATGCCCAGCATTCCCGTAGCATCCCTCGGCAATCAGAATTGCATGTTACACCTGATGCATCTGACCCCCACTCACGTCGACTAGACTTCAGCCCACGTCGATCTCCTTCACCTCATCTTCGGTCTCTTTCTCCCGTGCTTCGCCATTTCAAACACGCCCACGAGAAAAACTAACAGTCTCAGTTCCTGAGGCAAGAGCTGCGCCGCCGACGAAATTTCCAAGGCCTCGTCTTTCGCCCCCTAACAATATTGTCGTGTTTATGAATGGTTTCGTCACAACTTCATTTGTCGACACAGGTGCCGCTATTTGTATAATCAGTGAAGTGTTATGCCGCAAACTGAACAAAGCGACGACTCCGCTGGTTGAAATTTCTTTACGCACAGCGAGTTCGCAGCACGTCTAACCTTTTGCTGCATGCACTGCTCGTGTTGTGATTCAAGGAGTGCTTTACATCATTCAATTGATCGGCCTTTCGCGTGCGTCTCATGAAATTATCTTGGGATGGAACATTCTTTCACTGATCATGTGGTTGTCGACTGCGCTCATGCTCAACTCGTTTTGTTTCCATTCAGCAGGACATACATAGATCTCCTTTGCTCAACCAAAAAGATGATCATTGCCGCTGACGTCGTCATCTATGCTTTTTCAGTCGCCGTGGTCTCTATTTTGTGCACCTCCGTCTCTGATTCAACTGCCCTCTTTATGCCGTCGCAAGAATGCGCTCGTCGCCGGAACCTTGTCGTCCCGTTTGCCGTCATAACGCTTGCCGATGGTTCCAGTGCCGTGTACATGTGCAATCTGTTCCCTTGTCCCGCTAACTTATTGCATGGCGAATGTATTCGGCGTCTTGATGCTTATGACGCGATCTTTCGATGCCCCTTCTGAAACGACGTCGATATCCGTAGATGCTGTCACGGCTGTCACTGCACACTCACTTCCTGACGAAGACGTTCTGTTGCGCAGCCTGGACACTGGGCTTACGTAAGACCAGCGCAATTAGCTCGTTCAACTACTTCGTTTCCACACCTCCTTCGACAACGGACAACCTTTCTTGAGACGCACGTCAGTTGTTCTCACCATATCGACACTGGCCGTCTTAATCCACTTCGTCAGCGCCCCTACCACGTCTCGCAGGCTGAGCGTGACGTCATCACTCAACACATTGATGAGATTCTGCAACGTGGTATCATTTAACACTCACACGGTCCTTGGGCTTCGCCAGTGGTCCTCGTGCAAAAAAAAGGATGGCTCCTTTAAATTTTGCCTGGATTATCTGCGACTAAACAAGATCACATAAAAAGATGTTTATCCCCTGCCACGCATTGATGACGCCTTGGACTGCCTTCAAGGTTAAAAGTTTTTCTCTTCGCTAGATCTGTGCTCTGGATGTTAGCAAGTGCCAATGGCCGAGCCATATGGTCCAAAAACGGCGTTTGTGGCCCCTGAAGGCTTATATGAATATAAAGTATAGCCCTTCGATCTTCACAATCCGCCTGTGACTTGGACAGTGTCCTTAGGGGACCTTAATGACACATCTGCCTCTGCTATTTCGATGACACAGTTGTCTACTCTGGAAGTTTGGAAACTCATAAATTCCATCTGGAACAAGTTCTCCAGTGCCTTATGGCAGCCGGGTTCCAACTGAATTTCAAAAAAATGTCATTTCGGCGCAAGAAAACTCGCAATTGTTGGCCACGTCGTCTAAAAAAAGGAATATTGCCAGATCTTACCAATCTTCATGCCAGTGCTGAGTGCCCCAAGCCTACTAACGAGCTCCATAGCTTCGTAGGCTTGTGCTCGTATTTTCAGCGTTTCATCTGCAATTTTGCCTCTATAATCGCCCCCTTTACTCAGCTTCTTTCCAGTAGCGCAGACTTCTCGGGCTGGAATTCCCATTGCCATGACGCATTGACGACACTGCGCCGGCTACTCACGTCTCCGCCTGTTCTCCACCACTTCGATCCCAATGCACCTACTAAAATTCACACGGATGCTAGCGGTGTCGGCCTCGGTGCTATTCTCACTCAACGCAAGGATGGCTGCAATGAGTACGTTGTCGCCTATGCCAGCCATACCCTAACGAAGGCAGAGTCCAACTATTCCGTCACGAAAAAGGAGTACTTGGCTATCATTTAGGCTGTAGGAAAATTTCGTACTTACCTTTACGGACGCCAGTTTGATGTTGTCACAGATCACCATGCCTTATGCTGGCTAGCATCCATGAAAGATCCTACTGGCCACCTCGCTCATCGGGATTTACGCCTCCAAAAATACGACATCAATGTTAATTATCGCTCAGGACGCAGACATTCAGACGCCGATGCTCTATCCCGTTCTCCGCTGCCTCCTGACCTTGCCTGCTTACCAACTGCCATCTGCGATTCGTCATCGCTCAGCCTCACCGACAAGCCATCCGAGCAGCGCGAGGATCCCTGGATCAATTCTCTGCTCGACGTCCTCTCTCACAGTTCGTCAGAATCGACTTCCCGCTCCTTCTCTTGTCAAGCAAGACACTTTGCTTTCCGTGAAGGCTTGTTGTATCGCTAAAATTACCTGACAGATGACCGTAGGTGGCTCCCTGTCATCCCCCATCATTTGCGCTCGGACATCTGCAGCGCTGTCTTTAACGATGACCCCCAGTGTGGCCGCGCTGAAGTATTCGAGATTTACTCTCGCTTTGGCTAAGGGAACACTGGCGTGACATGTATCGGCACGTTCGCCAGTACGTTCGGTCGTGTGCCACGTGTCAACGCCGCAAGACGCCTTCTCACAGCACTGCTGGCCCTTTTCAACCGTTAACCTGCCCGCGTCGGAATGAATATTTATGGTCCTCTACCCAACACTCTTCGAGGCAACCGTGGATTATTGTCGCCGTCAGTCATTTGACACGCTACGTTGAAACATCTGCGCTGACTGCTACCACTGCGAAAGACGTTGCTTAACTTCTTCTTCACCATCTGATTTTGTGACACGGTGCACCTCGTGAACTACTGAGTGACCGTGAACACGTGTTTCTTTCGAACGCTGTCGACGAGCTGCTCAAGGAATGTCGCATTGTCCATCGGAAAACCTCGGCATACCATCCTCAAACCGATGGCATGACGGAACGCTTTAATCGTACCCTTGAAGATATGTTTGCCATTTACGCGTCTGACGACCACACTAAATGGGACCAAAAGCTCTCTTTTATCACGTACGCGTACAACTCTGCGCCACTAACAACCACCGGCTTCTCTCCTTCCTTCCTCCTGTACGGACGCGAACCATCATGCTTTATGGACACCATTCTTCCTTACAGACCTGATGTTTCCGAAGCGATGCCTGTTTCCGAAGCAGCTGCTTATACCGAAGAATGTCGTCAACTTGCTCGCTCGTTTACCGCGGAAGACCAATGGTGCCAGAAAACTGACCACGATGCATCTGCGTCTAGTGACCACTATAACCCAGGAATGTTGGTTTGGCTTTGGGTCCCATCTATTCTCCCGGTCTTTCCCCAAAGCTTTCGTCGAATTACCATGGCCCCAACCGTGTGGTGCGACGAACATCTCTCGTCAATTATGAAGTTTAGCCCATTGATCCGCCTTCAGACCAACGCTGCCGTGGGCGTGAAACAGTTCACGTATCACGCCTCAAACCGTGCCATGACCCCCCTGTCGTGTCATTTCCTTAAGTTGCCATCAGGTTGGCTTCTTGCTGCGCGATGAGCAATTGTACTGGAGCATAGTGGCACCAGCTCTGTGCCAGCGTGGAAAAAGACGTTGACGTCCGTGTGTCTGGTGCTTGCCGGATTCCTTATATATATATATATATATATATATATATATATATATATGTATGTATATATATATATATATATATAGTTGCAGCAAAGAAATAACGCTGGCCCCGGTAGAATAAGGAAAAGTAGAGCACGATGCACGTTGGTTTTGCACGGTATATTCTGACTGACGTTTCGGCTGGTGGAGCAGCCTTTGTCAAAGTAACCACTTTACTTTGACAAAGGCTGGTCCACCAGCCGAAACGTCAGCCAGTATAAACCGTGCAAAACTAACGTGCGTCGTACTCTATGTTTCCTTATATATATATATATATATATATATATATATATATATATATATATATATATGGCACAACGGGAGCGTTGTCAACAAAGATAAATATATTTATTCCCCAACAGTTTCGGGAGGCGACCTCCCTTCATCAGGGGATGAGTTATAGCTCATCCCCTGATGAAGGGAGGTCCCCTCCCGAAACTGTTGGGAAATAAATATATTTATCTTTGTTGACAACGCTCCCGTTGTGCCATATCCCATACCTTCACGAAGACTAACTGGCCCATTGAATTATTACTCCCACTATATATATATATATATATATATATATATATATATATATATATATATATATATATATATATATATATATATATATATATATATATATATATATATATATATATATATATTTCTTCGCAGCTGCAGTAAGTGCATGTAGGAGAGCTGGCCATTCCAATGAGATAAGAGTATGCGTTCGTGAAGGCCACTCCAAGCTACAGGCGGCATAGAAGAGTCTCTTCAGCTC